ATAAAAGGGGAAAAACGGAACAACGGGACTATTTTTTGAAGAATGATCGCTGGAAAAAAGTCAGGTGCTTGTTTGAAAGCTCTAATCTTCTAGTTTCTAATTAGCCTTAGACATCTGCAAAAAGTTGATTATGAAGAAAGTTATGAATGTTTGAATGTCGAAAACTCGCGTGTGCACAAAAAACGGAACAACGGGACGATTTTTTGAAATATTGAACATTCGCAACATTTCAAATACTTTTTGGAAGAAAACTATTTGTAGTTTTCAAATTTTTGTGTCCCATCTCATGAAACCGCTTTCGAATATATCGAAAAAAAATAATCGAAAAATATCAAATATAAATATCAAATATAAATAAAAAATATCAAAAATATCAAATATTGAAAAAAGATATAACCCTTCAAATGAAGAGGTTTGTGTCGTAACGTAATTGCTGCAAGGTTTAGTTTTTCAGATTATAAAAGGGTAATTGAGAGATCGAAAAAAAACTTGGTAGGTTTCTGAAAGTAGAAATCTTTGTGATTAAATCATGTATTGGTTTACGCAAAAATTTGGAAATTCCTTCTATTTAATGAATAAAACTTCATGTTGCCTCGATTCCCTCCTCTGAGCGAGACAGAGCGCGCGGATTGACCACGGTCCACCACTTCTCCATGTTGGTGACTGCCCACACATCAATGATGAGCATTAAATTATGTGAAAGACATAATAGTTAATACGGGGGGTCGTACCGATACCCTCCGAAAAGGAAGGGGGTCGTAAAAATTTTGGAATTTGCGCAACGCAGGGTTGACCTGTACGGCAGGTGAAAGATTTCAGCAGAAATTATCGTGGAGGAGGGTAAAGGAATACGAGGAACGATCTGGACCTCCTCATTTGTTTCAAGAATCCTATAAACAGCATATTGATGTTCTAGCCTTTGACTTCTCTTCTTCGTTGAACTATATTTAGTTCGTGGGAAGTGTGGAGTACCGCGCACCGCCGTTCGAAACGCACTGAAAGTATAACTGGACTTCCGCAATTTTAGCTTGTGCTAAAAGCACCCCGTTAAAATGATCTGGCAGCAATTCCGTGCTATGTATAAATATCTGCTGATTTTTTATCATGTTTCAACACGAATCGCTTTCTCTGTTATCCTGATTTGAGTTGTTACTTTGTTGCCATACTCATAGCGCCCCTATAGTCGGAACCACATTAGCAAAACCACACTTCGGGTCCTTTGGCGATAATCTCATTGTGTTTTACAACGCTTGTCTGCCTTAAAGCTTTAGGAGGGCACAACACTGGAGCTAGGATCGTTTCGACATATGTACATAGCTTTGATTCATTTTTTCACAAACGCAATCATCAGCCTGATCCCGTTATCGGATAGATTCACTAGAAAGAATCATCACTTCAGCCTAAAATCGTTTTTCCCAGATTACGGCTCAAAGGTCTCCAAGAAGAATCACTTAACTAGAAGGAATTAAGAAGCTTCCATTAGCACCTTGTTTTTCCTCGCCGATTTGTGTGATAATTTAATTGAAGGGCCTAAACGAAACTGAACACCTCTACAAATAATATAAGCCGTAATCAGTTTTGTTCAGAAATCCTCTTATCCTTTTCCCTCTCCCTCAAAGAAACAATATGTAGACCCATTTCATTATCAAATTTCAGAAAATTTTATCAAATAATTTCAAATTTTTTCAATTAGGTTTAGTAAATAATTAATCTGACGATCGATGACATATTTGCAGCGAATCGCTGAATTGTTCGCCTCATCGGGTCTGTGTGAACAAGCCGTGCAGTGTTTCCTAAGATGTAATCTGACTGCAGACGCCTTAGACACGTGTATTCAATTGAACAACTGGGATAAGGTTCTTCTACAGCCGATTTCTTTGTTTCAAATCTAGCCAACTGAAACGTAGTATACATTCAATATTCAGGCCGTCTCCCTATCCCGCACTCACAATTTGCAAGATGTAAACGTACTCATGGGCAAGTATGTGAAGGAGTTAAGCGAAAGCAGTGAGCGATCGCTTGCCGCTGTGCAACTCTATCGAAGAGCTGGACGGTTTCTAGATGGAGCTCGAGTTGTCTTCAGGGTAATGCCATTACAATTTTCATTGTGTGATCCTTGTACAGAGCGAAATCAATATAACATTTCGAATCCTGAAATGTGCAGAATATGTAGGGATGGGTTCTCAGCCAACAGTCATAATGCTTCAATGCATCAGGCATATGAGGGATGACCTTGGATGGGGCAGAAGAGCAGAAATTTCAGCCTAGAAACACTCCCTGGAAACAACAACTCCCATTCGGTTAGCCGAAATCGCATTTTGCGCAATAATGAACAGTGAGGATATTTTTGTTTTATTTTGTTTGTTAACTGCCGCTTTAACGCCACACATAGTCCACAAAATTATGGAGAATCACAAGCTGAAACAATGCGAATAAGTCAAATTCAGCGTAATAGTAAGACCCCGCCTATACCCTGCTCATCTCTCGTACACATCTACTTCTACTACATCTCCAGGGCGAAGGCGCAAGTCCTTGCAACAAGGGCGCAGGGAGGGCGTACATGATAATGGTGCATGAGCTATCGTTTCTTGTCTAGCGCTAAAATCAGCGCAACAATGGAAAATTTGTTTCCCCATCAAGAACTATGCAGAAGGGTAATCGAATAATCGCTGATCACTATAGGATTAACTTCTTTCACGGAGAGGAATCATTACAGATAAGCGAAACACCACGCAAAGTTGTAGAAATCCCTTCCCTGTAATGCCGCATTGTTTGTTCGCTTCAAAAGTAGTGCGTACAACCACTTTCAGTCACGCCCCCCAGCACGGCGTTTCCGCGAACAAAACTTTTGAAGGTGTAAAAAATAGTTTGGCAGTTCAAACAATTCGAGGCAAATTAGTATGCACTAGTATTTTTTGCTCTCTTCCATTTTTCGCTCTACCAGGCTAAAGTGGTTGAAGCCAATGCAGCAGAAAGGAGGGCGTTCCTATTAACAGCGCAAGCTATCGTTAGATCTCGTCTAGCTCCAAACAATGATAGCAATTCAATCTTGCAGGTTCGAGCCATTTTCCTCAGTTCCCTTCACTGCTTCATTTTCAGCTTATTAAAGGCAAGAATCAGGATTACATTGATGGGTTGATTCCACTCAAATGTGAAAGTAGGGATGAGAGGTGGACCGCCAATGGAGAAAAAAGGAAAAAGGAAATATACGAGCATTTTGCTCATGCTGTGGAGAAGTTCAAAAGACAGGCAGGGAGATGAGAGATAATGTGAGCGCGGAGAGTGGTAGAGAAGTCCGAGAAGAGAGAGCATAGCAGATCAACGCAGCGACGCAGACAAGATATCGAACGGTGGGCGGACCATGTTAAGTTTGGTGGAGTCTGTTAGAAGTCCATGGCGCCTAGGGTCCTAGTGACGCGTTTCGATGTAGAAAGGTGGCGCTACCTTTGCACTTGCGTGCCCAGCACTTCTAGCCATGGTAAGGGCTTCTTAGGTGGGTCTGAGCCCGAACTTTGCCTTTAACGCACCCACTGCCTCCACCAACTAACGTAAATGCTCCCATAAATAGCAGTCCTTTGAAAATGAAATTAGAACTCGCTCACGATAAGATAAAAATGAAAGAAATCCTTCAAAATCCGTAGAAAGGAATTCGTTTTAGCCCTTCAGTTCCTCCTTCGACGGAACTCGAGCTTACGATCACCTTGCTCTGCCCTTCAACCCTTTATCGCCGTAAACGATAAATACGACGGTCCCTCACTACCACACTATCATAAGCCGAGTGTGCGTCCTGAAGCGTAT